CTCAACCTGCTCCTTGATTACCTTTAAATCGCTGCCAATCGTTGCATGCAGTTCCTTCAGTTGACGTGCCTGCTCTTCTTGGCCTCGCTGGAGTTCTTCTTTCATTTGACGTGCCTGTTCTTCTTGCATATTTTTCAACTGATTGGTCTGCTCTTGCAACGCCGCCAACAATACAGATAAGTCAAGCATAGCCGGTGCTGGAGTAGCGCCAGTGGTGCTGGCAGTTAAAACAGAGTCAGTTGTTTGCTGACCATCTAATGTCCAATCAGAAGATTCACTGAAACGTCGCTGATCCATCGCCTGTTTTCGCTGTTGACTTCGTGTACGAATCCCTTCAGTGTCTTCTTTCGGCATAACCGGAATGATTCACATCGCACTCCTGACACCAATTTGTTACGAGCTATGGGGCTCGGGATATAAATTCAGAACACAGTTTACCGAAACCGACACTTTTATTTAGATACACTAAAAAACAAAAACGTTATATAACTCGTTAAAAGAAAAACAAATCTTCTCGAACGTCCTAATTTTTCGAATTATTCTTTTTTTCACTTTTTTTCAAAAACATTCTTTTTTGTTTCGCCACTCTCCGCATCATGGTGCTGGTCTTTTTTTAGAGCCGGCGCGACAATAGAATAGTGTTAATTTTGCATAAATTTATCGATGAATACTGTCTATAAATGCCAAATTATACAATTCGTTAAAATTTTCAATATATAAATCACTATAAATAGCCCTCTTTTTAATTTGGATGAAGCAATTCATTGAATCCCAACTGACTGAATGATTCATCATCGCCCGGAGCAAACCGCCGAACCTAAAGAGACGAAATTTGGTACGCAGTTAGGGTACATCGCGAAAACGCGCACTAAGAAGGGATTTTTGGAAATTCCCCCGCGGGGGGAGAGGGAGTGAATTAAGGCTTAACCGGAAGAACGGCTTCTACCGTACTATTTTACACGCGATTTTTTGTTTTTAATTACGTTTATTCTTCGTAGAGTACTTAGGTGTAATAAATTGATAACATTTAGGACATTGTTATAAATATTTTTTATATATTTCGATTTTTTAAGCAAATGTTGGAACCGTTTTAAATTCGAATTTGTTATCGCGTATCGGCTCGATTATAGAACGATTGTAAACGTTGCAGAAAATTGATCGAATTAAAAAGAGTTCGTTCGATTCTCGGCGGGAGGTGTTATATAACAATTACTACGGTTGTCGAAATACTGAATGTAAATGGGGTTTGCTGGCAAAATCCTCGCGGGTAACAGCTAGTAAATTATATAATGAGTCTGCAAAAATTATACTGTAAAGCCTTTCTAAAACGGAATCCAAATAAAACATAGATTGCCGAAACGAAAAGAAATTCGTACCGTGCGATTCATGATTAACAGGTTTTACTGTATAATTTTTATTTAAATCTATTTGAAGTAACATTTTTAAAGAGCTAATTATTGTAAGTTTATTCAGAATTTCACCAAAGAATACTTTATTCACTGTATATAACAAACAAAAAACTACGTAGTAGCATCAATGACAGGCCACTAAGAGGTGAAACAAAATATCTGAACTGAGTTTAAAGCATCATAAGTTGTAAACTTAAAAAGATAATTTAAAAATTTCTGCGCCTGAAATTACGTCATTACACACGCTCAGTTATCTTTTCGAACATTTATGAGTCAGTTCGGAAAAATGGCTTCAAAAGGAACATAGTAAGAGAGCACGTAGTACAAACGTACGAAAATAAAGCCAAGGATTCAAAAGGCGGAGTGTTTTTTAACCGAGGACCGTAAAAATCAACTGCATATAATATTTTGATGATGTAGGAAATGTCTGGAAAGGGGAAAATGCGAAGGGCATTGGGACAAATGTTTGACAATAAAGATAAAGTTACCCAGGAGGAGGAAGCTAAAATGTTCAATTGTTATCGAACATATGTAGATAATATCCTTAATAAAATGGGAATAAAAAAAGGAAGAAAAAGATATCTTCAGAGTACACTGCTGAAAAATTTCTGAAATCCTAATGAAATTCAAGTGGCTCGTAAGAAATTTTGGAAACAAAACATGTTTTCATGGTTACACGTTAGATATGTAAGTTATATAGCTTGGACATCAGTAAGTTCTATTGATTCTTGGTCTGGAAGAAAAGGAACGTATTTTGTTTAGAATTCAACATAAAAAAATTACTGGTATCTAAGCAATCGATTTTATGTTATTTCTCTATCGTTTTCAATGACGATTGTTATAAATTTCTAAACTAGTCAGAAAGGAGAAAAAAGGAATAAAAAGGAGGATGAAAATTGGAGGTTAGTCTCAAAATCAAACACGTCCAAAGCCATTAGATTTCAGATTCAGAAAAAAGTGTAATTGGCCGTTTTTAAAACTATACGCCTTTTGAACTTGAACGATAATAACGATAACTCATTGTCTGTAAGCAATTTTATCATAGACAAAGATAACTTTTGTCGTTCCAGTTCTTAATAATCACCAGATAAATTTTTTCTTTCTGCTTGTTTCTTTAGACTTTGTAACGGTTTGTAAGGAAAGAGATCAAAGATGGATGTAAGAAGTGGAAAAGCATTAGTAACAGGCGGCGCACAGGGAATTGGAAGAGCTGTTTGTGAAGCATTGTTAAGCAGGGGATGTAAGGTAAGATTTTTAAATATATTGAAAAATTTATTTAAAAGTATCATTTCGAAAATTATCTGCTTCGAATATTTAGAATTTATTATCTGTATTTTATGCTTCTATTCCACATCTTCAATATTAATATATGAACGGTTGTTAATTGATGAGTACAGTGTCTGTGGATGTGATAATTCGTAAAAAATTACGGTATTTGACGGTTCACGTATTGATAAAGTTAAACCTTTGTGGTTTGGAACAATTCGGTTTACGAACAAACCTTGAACTCATTTTTGTCCCTGTTGCCTAACAAAGTACTCAGCAAGAGCCAGCCACAGATGGTTAACTTCCTATACGTCCAATGTTAAAGAAAATCGAAGGCCTGACGAAACACCGATAGAAATAATCGATGACGTTGTTATATAAATTACACATCAATGCGTATGCGGAAAGATACTATTTCCGTTTTTCGGTACGCGCCATAGTCGAATTTAAATCAAATTAATTAATAAAGACTGCGTTAATAGACATTAACTTAATATAAATGGCATTCAAGAATTTGTTTTTAAATACTGTATGTTTAATTTAAATTAAATGAAGAAAGTTTATAAATATTTAATATTTATTAATACTAGATAGCCAGTTAGTTAAAACTAAAAATAATAAAATAATAATTAAAACTGGCCTTTACACCGAAGCTAAAACTAAAAGTAAAATTTAAATTAAAATTGAAATCAAATCAATTGAAACATAATATTTCGGAAGTGTGAATAAAGTACTTTTGTCCGTCTTGATTGATTTGGTTATATTTCATTTAGGTAGAATTGAATCTATATTTATAGCACTTCTTTGTAAAGTGTTAGTTTAGGTTGGCGGCGAGGGAATATTTAGCTTTTAGTATATATATGTATATATATAGAATAAATATAGATATAGACATAGATAAAATAATAATATATTGCCCTTATAGGCATTTTTATGCATGAAATACAGCTAAAATGATAATATAAGAGTTTTTTCTTGGAGATTGGGAACGGATTAATCTATTTTATATTGTTACTAGCAGGTGGGACCGGCGTTGCTCGGGCAAAAGTAACGATAACTAAGATAAAGATTATTACGTTACAGTCAACCTTACCCGTTTTCACAGAATGCAAGAATTGGGTCCCCTTGTCTCCAGACTAATTAGAGAATTTTTAGATGGGTCTAAAAATATGTTCGATTTCCCGCAAAAATGAAAAAAGCTGAATCTGCGTATTGCACGTCGCTTTCTCTTAACAATTCCATTGTTACGTAACATTTCTATTGTTGACCCTTCCATTGTTACTTAAAACTTTTATTGTTACTTAAAACTTCCATTGTTACTTAACACTTCCATTGTTACTTATTACTTCCATTGTTACTTAACACTTCCATTGTTGATGGAAGTGTTAAGCCTTAATCCTGTCTTTCTCCCTCCCCCGGGGGAATTTCGAAAAATCCCTTCTTAGTGTGCGTTTTCGTGACGTACCCTATCTATGTACCAAATTTCCACTTTCAACTCCTAACCGTTTGGGCTCTGCACTTATTATTATTATCATTATTATCAACCCGTCTCGATTATATTATAGATTATAAAATTTCTTTCGGTTTTAAAACAAATCGATTTTCGAACAACTTTCAGGAACGAATTAAGTTCGAAACCCGAGATTTAATTATATTAAAAATTTAATTATATAGATTTTAAATACTGTAATTTCTTGTAGTGCACTTAATTTCATGATGTCGACATTAAGTATAAAGGTACTGTACAACGATTAAAAGTAAGTAAGACGGCCGGATGGCTGAGCGGTCAAGGTGGCAACCAACCTACCTGGGGTCGAATAATTCCCAGAAATTTTTTGGGGGGTGATCCGTCCAGATATGTCGGGCCCCGTCCCTCACCACCAGGCCGCCCCATTGTGGGCCTGGCCGTACCCATTATGGGCTTGCAAAAAGAGGCCCTCTTAGTGCCCACAGGGCGGAAAGGATTAATTAAATATAAAATAATAGTGTATTTGTATTTTTTATTGGAGTAAACCAGAAAAACTGATAGTACTCAGGAAACCAGTAAAACTGGTTTCCTGAGTACTATCAGTTTTTCTGGCATCTGGTTTACTGATTTCCATGCAAAATAGAAAGACGGAATTGGGGACATACAAATCACCCATAAAAATTATATAAAATATAAAGAAAAAATCCAAATGTTTCGCAATTCAGGAGTACAATGAAAGAATTACTTAAGTTAAAGTTTGATGTTTTCAAGAATTCTCCAAAAACTTCAGAAAAAAAGTTTTTTGAGAATTCCTGATAACTTTAAGAATTCCAGAACTTCTAAAGTTTGTAACAAAGTCAGTAAAATATAAATTTTAAAAATGCTTCAATGAAATGTTTAGAACAGCAAGGCGAATATTATTATCCATAAACCCTATTTGCTATGCATAATAAAACACAACTGAAAAAATGTATGTAAGTGTACTTTGATATCTTATTCATTAAAACTGCTGTATCATATTTAAACAAAATAAATCATTTATAAAACTATATGATAATAATCCATTTAAATCTTTAGATTTGCTTTGTGGACGTGAATTCCGAAAGAGGTCAGCAAACGGTCAACGAATTTCAGAAGACTTATGGAGAATCAAACTGCATATTTGTCAAATGTGATGTTTCGTCTTCGGAAGCGTTTGAAGGTATTGTATTTTACAAATTGCAGTAATTAAATCGAAGTAATTAATGAAGTTATTATTAACATAGACATATAATATTAAAATTATATTTCCAAAAATATAAATTTTTAAATAATACTCTTGAAATAAAGCACTGGAAGAAAGAAATTAAAAAAAGAATTCCCTCAAACGTAACTATCTGTATATTTCGTATAGAAACCACATTGCTAAAACGTAACTTATCGTTGAATGCATCAACACAATAGTGAAGAAATAGTATATCCTTTTACATAAATTTATGTTCGAAAACAATCCTTTTAACTATGGCTTTGCTCAAGTATACGAATTCTGCGTTAAACACAGGATATGTCTTAAATCTATAACATTTAGAAATTCATATGCAAAAATTACGTCAGCTACAATAGGAAATGTGTTAGAATTCATAGGAAAAAAAACAAAAATTTTTTGTTCCATATTTGCCTGAATTACTTGCACTACAATGCACTAAGCAGTTGATTTTGAAATCCCCACTCTCATTTCTAATCAAGTTGAAGGTCTCCAGACAGATATACAGTAGTTCTAACACGCTCCACTGTTTCATCACTTGGCTGTGGATGTCCTAATCTGTTCCTATAACACTCGTTCTGCTGAAACTGTCCGTACCATTTAGTACCACCAGTGAACATTCTTGTTCACTGGTGCAGGCTTGTTAGAATGAGCTAGAAATAGTTGCTATACATGAAAACAGTTTTGGAGAATTTGATAACACAGTGCGCATTTTGCTGCCGTCTCAGCGCCATTTTGAGAAAAACCTACGACTTGGCAGTTACTGCTTCAGTTTGACCTGGAATTAAAAAAAGTTGTTTCTCTTCATTCTACTAACATATTTCATATCATGTGTATGCCATAGTTTATGAATTATGAATTTTCTTATCTCTGTGACAACCGCCTTTCTACCGGTCACAATTTCTGTCCAGAAATGATAGTATTGTGCTTCCAAATCTCGCCTATTTATTTGACGTAATTCTTTCTACTGATGAAACAACATCTGCATGAACGATGTTTAAGTCATCAAATGAGTTAAAAGTAGCATCTCAGGAGAGCTGAGAAATACGAGAAAAATAAGAATACAAATTCAGTTTATCTTTTTACGTTTTCTTTATCTGAAAGAAAACTGATGTTACATTCAAGATTACTTTACTGTGGCAAATAATATAAATTCAATTTTATATTACATTTATCGTTAATTATCACTATATTAATTCACTTACAGAAGCTTACTTGAAAGCCAAACAGACATTTGGGGATTTAAATATTTTAGTAAATAATGCAGGAGTTTCCCAAGAAAATAAGGCTGTAGATATTAATTTGGTAAGTCCGAACACTTTTTATTCTTTATAATTTCATTGAGTAGTTACGAAGTGAATTTTATAATTAAAATTTATTATAGAATGGTGTAATATATGGTTGCAACATTGCATTAAAATACATGGGGAAGAATAATGGAGGTGACGGTGGTGCTGTTGTTAATGTCGGTTCTGTGTTCGGTATATAAATTTTTGCAAGTTCTTTTTATGCCGTAAACTTATGTACAGCACAATAATTCAAATATAGTTTTATATTTATATCGTAGGTCTCCAACCCCCAGGATTTAGTCCTGTCTATTCAGCTGTCAAAGCAGGAGTAATTGCTCTTACAAGATGTCATGGAGTAAGTAGTCGTCATAATATGATAATTCATTTATTTAGAGGAATTTCAAATAAAATAGCTGTAATTATCAATGTTTTAAGTCTTTTATCTTATTAAATTTGGAGAAAATTAAATTATTTAAATTTCAGTATAAGGTTATAATGATTGGGAAATATAGAAAGTATAGTGTCAGTTATTTAAATCGTTGTTGTCTTAAAACTTCCAAAGAACGAAATTTTTGGATTGGATTAAATTAATGGAAATAAGGCAAGACATCATCATATTAGCAATATGCCAAGAATAATGTCTCTCGGGAGGACGTCTTATGGCTAACAAACTCCTATTTAGGTGTTATACACGTGAAGAAGACTTCCGAAACTGCAAGAGGCCAGCCTGTTGGTCGAGAGCTAACCCGTGAATACTACCAGTGTTCGGTACTCTGCCATTCTTGGGCATTATGTTTAGTAATAAACTTGATAATAGAAAAATTCAAAATAAAATATTACTTATAATTTAAAATTTTTAATGAGGTAAATTATAAAATTAAAACTTGAAAGATAAATTAATGTTTGCTAACAGCAGCGCCAAATTTCGTCCCTGCGGATGAATTTTAAAGTAAAAGATGTTTTCCTAAAACCGAAAATACCTACTGAGGACAGTATGTATACTAAGTTGGTTGAGATTTTTTTAGTAACTTCGTTACAGCTAACTCTGATTATTAATCTTTAATTATGATAATTGCTAATATCGTAGCCTGAATGTTGCCAATCATTTTCAGAAAGTTTCCATTTTTTGTAGAATTTTTAGTGAATAAATTACTCGTATGTGTGCAACAAATTTACTAAGTTTCTAATGGCGTCAAATATTATTTAGATTGTGTTAATTGTCATAACATTATTTTTGGGAGCAACATCAAGACTATTTTTTTTACTCTTTCCGTCTTGTGGGCACTAAGATAGTCTCTTTTAGCAAGCCCATTACGGGTTCGGCCAGGCGCACAATGGGGCGGCCAGTGGTCAGGTACGGGACCCGACATATCAGAATTTTTCGGGGACCACCCCGAAAATTTCTGGGGATTTTTGGACCCGTCTGAATTGGATCCTTGATTCCCAGAGCAATAGGCTGTCACTTTGACTTCTCGGCCATCCGGCGCCACAACAGCTAGACTGTATGTGCTAACGATTTTGAGTTCGCGTACCATATAACAAGCATGCTTATGTTTAAAAATGTTTATGTATGCCAAGTTTTAGTGTTCGATTAAAGACATTCAAAGAAATGAAAGGAATATGTTTTAATTGTAGTAGATGTACAGAAGCTGTTTGGAAAAAGGATGATCAGATGATAAACCGAACTCACAAGTTACATTACGTGCCACAGGTTCGACACCCTTGCTCTATACTCAACCATTCAAATTTTCTATTGCTTGATTATGAGATTGATAATAGGTGCATAAACTTACGTAACTCTTACTAATATAATAGCGATAAATATAAAAAAATTCTGCGATTTTAAAGTAAATTTTTTATAATTAATTACATTATTATAAGATGAATAAATATTTTTGTATAAATAAATTGCTGTGGGCATCCGGGACAGAATCCGGTAGGGCGAAGAAGCTTAGCATTTTCGTTAACGTTCCGTCTTGGATGTATCGGGCATATTTAATAATCTAGGATGTGAATTACAGTATTAAAAATTCCATATTAGTTTTCAGGTTTTTAATATTTTATAAAATACCAAGTAATACCGAATTGAAAGAAATTTTATCATTTTATCAAATGATATCTTATTTGACAGTATAAAAGATAACTTTTTCAAGTAAGGAAAAGTAAATATTTATATAATAAAAATATAATGAAGAATACAAAAAAATTATATAAATGACCGTCGAGCATTTTAAATATATATATTGATATTTATATTTTACATCAATAGTTCAATTACGAAAAAAGTGGAGTTAAATTCACCTGTGTATGTCCTAGTACGGTAAACACCGAAATGGTGCAAAAAGGCGTTACATCAGGGAGTAAAGAAATAAGAATTTGTCAAAAGGAATCCCGCAGTAGAGTAAGTAATAATTCTCGTGATATTTAAAAAAATAATAAAATTAATAATACATATAGCCTATATGTGAGAATCTGGATGAATACCCATCTAATTTACATAATTTGCACTCTATATCAATACACATTAAGCTAAATTTGTTTAAAATTTTTATTAAAGTTTAAACCAAAAAAAGTTACAAAACTTTAACATCCTGAAAACATGCTCTATAACGCAACCTTTATTTAGAAATGAGGATGTTTTGCTTCCTTCCTCCACTTCTTATCTTAAATTTTTCCCAAACACCTGTCCGAATGACCCAACGACGTTTCCCGTCAGAGGATGTTTTTCGATTACAATCATTGGTCGAAAATCTGAATAAAAGGGCCGAGTGTTGCGCTACTCGGGGAGTGCCATATTAACCGGCAGTCCATACGCCACACCTACCCTACATAGAAGAGGGTAGGCCCAACATTCATCTCCAAGTCACGATCCCTACAGAAAAGATACTCTACACATCGACCGAGGTATTAGTGGTTTCAATTGATTGTAAACTCTCTCTCTGTAATACTGAGTATAGTCTTAGGTTAGACATTTAAGTATATGCTATCTTTTTATGTTTTGTTGTTTTTTTATTTGTCCTTGTTATTTTGTTCTTCTTTGATTAAATTGTTGATTTTTATATTAAATGACTTTCTTAGTCGAGTATTTTATTGCTTATGCACAACCTCACACAGAATTTTACCACTCGGATTCTGTTAGAATAAGCCATCCAGTGAAAACGTGAGCAGGTCCTTCCGATCTGACGATTAGAGGGCCTTGACCCTCGTCCGTATTCTCACATACAAAAGAAAATCATTATCTGTTATATCAACTTAAACCTTTTAATTTATAATTTTGTACATTAGTTAGTTTCAATCTGTAGGTCTTGTACAATACGTAAATGCTATTTTAAACTGTTAAAAGAATTATGTAATTATAATTCGTTTAGAACATATTTTAAAAAATACGGTAGACCCCCTATAACACTGTAAATAATTCCGTATTATATGAATTTCGTATTATACAAGTCATTTACATTTTACAAATACGTGAGCTGTTCACAGCCCGGCACATGTATTTGTAAAATCTAAGTGACTCATAAAACATGGAATTCATATAATACGGAATTATCAACAGTGTTATAGGGGGTCTACTGTATTCAAATTTATGCAAATATAGTCTTATTAGTCTATTAATAATATTAAAAAATGTGTACAAATTTAGTGGTTACATGAATTGACCATGCATTGCTAATTATATATATAGATCAAAGAGACATTTCTCTTTTATTATGACGCAATAAAAAATGCAATTTGGTTATTTGTAAACATTATTTCCGAATCGAATGAATCAACATATAAGCTATAGACCGTGGTGTATACCTCGAATACGGCCTACAGCAAATTACAAAACAGTTTAAATATAATACAATTTAATAGACAGAATCAAAGATTTTGGCTATTAAATTGTTTTGTAATTTATTCTGTACTCTAATATATAATTAAGAAATTTGAAGATCCCATAATATCGAAGAACACAGTTAACATATACTCATTGCTCAAATCGCCATTGATAGTAATGTACCGTAAATCGAATTTTTGTGCATAAATAAAGGGAAAGAATTAGTATTTTGTGTGGCACTTTGAAAATGAGTGTTTTTCTAAATTAATTTATGTCATTAACCTAGTAAATTACTAAACTAAGGTAGTTTGGTTTATTTAGTCACTGTAATGGACACCTGCGCAACCTGCCAAGGGAATGCCTCCCTGAGAACTTTCTATGAAAACTGGCTCCTACTAAGGTGTCACAAAGGTGATAAAAACATGGAAACTGCACGCGGCTAGTCCGTTGGTCAGGAACAAACCCGCGACCAACTACCAGGATTCAGTGGTTTTATCGACTCGGCCACTGGTGGGCACTAAGACTAAGATATGTTTCTGCGAATTTCAAATTTTAAACTAATAGCGAGGTTGCGGCCGACGTTTTCAATGCGAAAACGTCGGCCGCAACCTCTCTAATAATTATAAAGTTCGTAAAAGTTAAAATTTCACAAATTGTTACGAATTCTGTAGTAATGAATTGAATGAATTTAACAAATTGTTATTGNTTTTTCTTATAAGAAAAAAATATGATTATTTATTTAACTTAACAAGAGAGGACTTTTAACTTTTTACAAATAAAGGAACTTCAGGAAAGAGAGTTTAAGACATTTGTAATAGAGCGTTAACTGTAAACGCACAGTGAGTTGTTGAACTTTTTTTTTCATTTAGGCGTTAGAATTTGTCACCGATCTATTCTGACTTGAGTAGGTAATATTGGTCATTATAAATCCATTACACGGGCTACATCCGGCCCGCGGGCCGTATGTTGGCCATGTTTGATCTAGAGTGTCTTCTCTTCTGGTGGCTCTGGATTGTTCGAGTTGTTGGCCCGGGTGATAGCCCGAAGTTCAAACAAGATGGTGTCCACTTGTGGTGGCTGGGGAAAGTCTGGACAGTAATTGATACTATCAGAGGCTGGGAGAAGTCTCTACAGTTATCTTTACTAGGGGAAGCAGAGAAAAAGTCTGTCTTTGTCCTTGAGATGCAGGTTTTTAAGAGATACTCTTCCCCGGATCTCTAGCTTTTGATTGGTCTGTTTCCTGTATCTAAGCAGATGACAGACCATTTCGGGCTACCAAAGGTTTAATTCGACACTGTGTTTTAATCCGATCAAGGGAAATTAATCGCACCTTGAAACTCCTGCTCGTATTTAATTGTTTCGAATTCTTATAAGTCTGACACATAATATCAGCGCTGCATCTCCTTTTAAGGTTATTTAAAAACTGTTTTTTTCTCTCGATTAATAATTTTATTATTTCCCGATTTTATTTAAGTTTTTCTTCCAATTTTTACGAGCGTTAGAATCAAAGCCCGATCCCTTGATTTGACACCTTTATGATATTTTTAACACGTGAGCTCGAGTATCGCTCGGGCCTCACAAAGTTGATTTCAATTACAGATTAAGCGCACGCAAACTTAATTCTTGTAAGATATGAAATTTACATAAATTTCATACCTTACTTTAGTTAAAAAAATATTTCTTAAATCCTGAAATGTTTCATTTAAAATATAAGAAAAATCTTTTTAAAGTTTTATTTTACGAAGTCGATGTTTCTCGCTTTCGATGAAGATGTTACTTTCAGGGATGTCACTCGCGACATATGAAAAAACTTGGGTCTGGATGGAAAAAAACCCAGATGGGAATTTTAAAATCCCAGATTATTTACCCAGAAAAATTCGTGATTTAAAATATACAGTAATTATAAATACTTTATCGTAGTACATTCATGCTGTTATAATTACAGACACTATAATACATATTTAAAAAACCATTTATTACGTAATTTACAAAGTAGTTAATGTTATTTCACAGTTAATCTGTTTCTTCTTCTTCCATTAACAGTTCTGCACAATCTTTATGCTCTTCTTGTTGCTTCTTATACCTTCGATGGCAAATTCCTTGTACTGCATCTCTAATTAGTTTAGGTTCCAGTTCATACAGCGAACAGCTAAGATTTTTTTACTGATTGCTTGTTTAGCAAACATGTTCTTTGACGATTCAACAGTTAACCTGTTAGTTTGTTTGGTCTTAATGTTGTTGATTTGCGAAAATATTCTCTCGACACTGGCTGAGGAATGTGAAAGAACTGTGAGCTGTGTCATAAATTGAGATAGTAGGGCATATTTACAGTTACCAAAACCATCCTGTATATTGTGCAACAAGAACCAATATTCTGGTATACTACTATATTGTATGACGAAATCTTTTGCTAAACGAAATGATCGCCATTCGTCATCTAACTGGTTAAGTNAAAAGGAAATCCAAATAAAACATAAATTGCAGAAACGGAAAGAAATTCATACCGTGCGATTCCTGTTTACACAGGATTTACTGTATAATTTTTATTTAAATCTATTTGAAGTTACGTTTTAAAAGAGCTAATTATTGTAAGTCTATTCAGAATTTTATGAAAAAATACTTTATTCGCCGTATATAATAATCAACTTTGTAGTGGCATCGGTAACATACCAATAAGACGTGAATTTTTCGAACATTTATGAGTCAGTTCGGAAAAATGGCTTCAAAAGAGATCATAGTAAGAGAGCATGTCGTACAAATGTACGAAAATAAAGCCAATCACTCACTCAAAACAATTTGTGAAGGAGCATTTTTAGGCGAAGGCAATAGAAAATCAAGTGTATATAATATTTTGAAGATGTACGAAATATCTGGAACGTGGAAAATAAGGCCAGGAAGTGGAAGAAAACCGGTTGCTACGAATGCAAAATAGCTAAGAATATTACGACAAATGTTTGACGACAAAGATGCAGTTAGCCAGATGGAAGCAAGTAAAAGATTTAATTGTTTTCGAAAGTATTTATGCAAGACACGGTTACGAAGATGCATATAAAGAAAAAGAAGGACAGGGTCCCAGAGTACACTGCTGAAAAACTTGCCGAAATTCGAACGCAATACAGGTAGGTGGCTCGTGAAAAATTTTGGAAACAAAACATGTTTAGGCATGTAAGTTTTATTGTTTCTTGGTGTAAAAAAGACAATAGAAATATTGTAAATGTGATAACGTCAAAGAGGAAAACGTATGTAGTTTAGAATTCAAAATTTAAAAATTTTTAAAGCAAACGTTTACTGCCAATTTATTGTATGACATATTGTATGTTACTTTATAAAATTGTAAATATTAATAAATCGGCAGAATATTAAAAATGTAACTTTTAATTTACATAAAGAAATAATATCGAGAAAATAGTTGTTCTCAGTCACATGATAAAGCTATTAAAGCAACAATCTTAAATCTATCGTAAAAGGACGGATGGCCAAGCGGTTAAGGGGACAACCTACTGTTTTGGAAATTTGGGATCGAATACGGACGGGTCGAAAAATCCCAGATTTCGGGGGGATCCAACCGGAATTATAAAGTTCGTAAAAGTTAAAATTTCACAAATTGTTACGAATTCTGTAGTAATGAATTGAATGAATTTAACAAATTGTTATTGACATCTGTAGCAATGCTACGCATGTCAATAACAATTCGTTAAATTCATTCAATTCATTGCTACAGAACACAATTCATTGTGAGCCATGTAACCAAATAAACCAAACCAATTAATTATGTATAAATTCAATTAAATTATGAAAATATCTATCAATTATTATTCAAAAATTTATGAATTGCGTAAAAACAATCTTCAAGCGCAAAGTTTGCAAGTCACTATCTTTTACGTTCTCTGTCCATCATAACAGAAATAAAATCACTACGGATAAATTATCAATATTCATATTTAATTTTGAATATTATATTTACATATGGATGTAAACCCATCTAATTTACATAATTTGCACTCTATATCAATACACATTAAGCTAAATTTGTTTAAAATTTTTATTAAAGTTTAAACCAAAAAAAGTTACAAAACTTTAACATCCTGAAAACATGCTCTATAACGCAACCTTTATTTAGAAATGAGGATGTTTTGNTACATATAAGAATTAATAGAATAAATGCAACATGTTTAGCTGCCATCATTTTAATTCTCCTAAAACTTTTGTTCTAAAACTTACACCACTTCATATAGAAACTTACAATGTACTGTATATTTTCAAGATATACAACATATATACTGTATATCATTCCCATATTTAAGAATAAAAAATATTACTACTTTATGCATTTTCAAACCACAATGTTACAAACATTATTGCATAAAACAATACATTTTAACTTCAAAATACACGTAAACTATCCAGAATTTTAATTAAGTAGCTGGAGAAGCTTGAGCAGGTGCTTAATTAAGTGTATCTGAGTGTTTTTAACTCCACATGATTCAGGATTCAGCAAATAAAGTATCATGCTTTCCGTTTTTGTTTCTAAAACCTAAATTTTTTTTATTATTTAAGTCAGGGGTGTCCAACCTTTTTGTTTCTCTGGGCCGCATTGGAAGAAGTCAAGGAGATTTGGGCCACAAGTTTATATAATATATACTTGTGGCCCAATATACAAGTATATTTAAGGATTANATTATAATACAGTCTCTTTGTACCCTGTAGTGCCATTTGGCATGGTGGAGCAGGGAATTTACTCAGAGTTATATGAGAACACCCCTGAAAAGTTTCTGGGGATTTATCGACCGGTCTGGATTCTAACATGGGTCCTCCAGAGCGGTAGGCTGCCACTTTGACCGCTCGGCCATCCTGCCTATGTTGTTAGACTAGAAAATTTTATATTCGCCAATAAAAATCCTTTCTAAATATATGAAATAGATAAACCTTTAATTTATTATTCTTTACATAATAATTTTGATTTTATGAAAATAACAAGTTGTGAAGGTCGCCGAATTGGTAATATCCAAATGTCAGGACTTATTGTATGTGGAATGAAGGAAAGTGAGGCAAATAGCTACAGTGACGAACAAACCCGTTTATTTATACTAAATCTTACAATGTAGAGTGTCTTTCTTCTCTTCTGGTGGCTCTGGACTGTTCGAGTTGTTGGCCCCGGGTCAGTCAGTCGATGCTCGATGGTGTGGGAGGTTGTGACGAAGGGTGATAGCCCGAAGTTCAAACAGGATGGTGTCCACTTGTGGTGGCAGGGAAAAGTCTGGACAGTTGACTATAGTTGTTTGCTGGGGAAAGTCGGGACAGTAATTGATACTATCAGAGGCTGGAATAAGTCCCTACAGTTATCTTCACTAGGGGAAGCAGAGAAAAAATCTAATTTTTTTTTATTATTTAAGTCATTTTATTTTAAGTCATATTTAAAAAAGCCCCATATTTTACGAAAATTAGAAAAAAACAACCTCGAAACCAAGAGAAGGTCGAAAAACCCAGAACTGGGTTTTAAAACCAAGGAATGGTAACCCTAGTTACTTTCATATTTTAAATTCAGATGGAATTTTCACATACAAAAAGAATTTACTGGAGCTGTAAATAATAACATTTGGAGATAATAAATCAGAAAAAGTATTATTTCGAAAGAGAAAATACGAAATACTGTAAGTCAATGCAATATCTTATACTCTATATGAAACGTATAATTTCAGTAACGTCTACGTCCATCTTGTAAAAAATTATCTAAGCAATCGATCTTATGTATTTCTCTGTTCTTTTGAATGATGATTGTTATAAATTTCTGAAGCAGCCAAAAAAGCAGAAAGAAGGGATAAAAAAAGGATGAAAATTGAAGGTCAGTTTCAAAATCAATCACATCCGAAGCCATTAGATTTCAGATTCAGAAAAAGCAGTGGCGTAGCATAGTGGGGGCGGCAGGGGCGGCCCGCCCCGGGCGGCACTTTTTAGGGGGCGGCAAAATTTCACAATAAAGAATAATAATATCTTGTAAAGAACTTGAACCATTTCTTTAGAAATTTTCGTCGCATCTACGATTCGGACCGATTGAAATGAGCACGGAATAATGTTATCATCCGGACAGTCTAAGAATCGACTAACCGTCAGTGCGCTACCTGTTGACTTATTTTTTTTTTACTTTTGCTCTTACGATTTATTCGCATATATGTACACCTCCAATATCCAATAGAGGTAGGTCATCTCGGTCACTTACGTTACTCCTACCCAAGTTTCCCTTGTCGCTAACTGTAACTGATTTAGAACCGGCATGCACTGCGCAATATTCTTCGCATTGCAAAATGACATACGCATGCGTCAGGAACTTCTGTTCGAACAAACCTCACCTGCCGACCGGATCAGTGATTTTTTAAAAAGGTGGCAACACTAGCACGGAATTTTTCATTACTTATTCTGTGACGAAACTGAATTTTAGTCTTTTAAATTGAGATACCTAAATAAAGGGGGCGAAATTTTCCTCTGCCCCGGGCGGCTGACACCCACGCTACGCCACTGAAAGAAAGTGTAATTGGGCGTGTTTGAAACTATAAGCCTTTTCAACTTGAACGATAATAACGATAACTAATTGTCTGAAAGCAATTTTATCACAAACAAAGAAAACTTTTGTCGTTGTAGTTCTTAATAATCAACTGATAAAAAGTTTTATCTTTCTACTTATGATATGCCGAAGTTTCGCTAGACTTTGTAACGGTTTGTAAGGAAAGAGATCAAAGAAGATGAACGTGAAAAGTGGAAGAGCATTAGTAACAGGCGGTGCACAGGGACTAGGAAGAGCTGTTTGTGAAGCATTGTTAAGCAGAGGATGTAAGGTAAGATTTTTCAAATATTTTCAGTAATTTCTGTAAAATTATTGCTTTCAAAATTATCTGTTTTAAATATTTAAGATTTAATCGTATTGGCTTATTTATTTCCTTATAGTTTGTCAGTCGTCATGATTTTCATACTAAATAAAAGTTTAGAATATTTTCGGCTATAAAATTTAAGTTTCTTTTGTTATATATNTATTTTATTTTAAGTCATATTTAAATAACCCATATTTTACGAAAATTAGAAAAAATAACAACCTCGAAACCAAGAGAAGGTCGAAAAACCCAGAACTGGGTTTTAAAACCAAGGAATGGTAACCCTGGTTACTTTCATATTTTAAATTCAGATGGCATTTTCACATACAAAAAGAATTTACTGGAGTTGTAAATAATAACATTTGGAGATAATAAGCCAGAAAAAATATTATTTCGAAAGACAAAATACGAAATAAGTCAATGCAATATCTTATACTCTATATAAAACGTATAATTTCAGTAACGTCGACGTCCATCTTGTAAAAAATTATCTAAGCAATCGATCTTATGTATTTCTCTGTTTTTTTGAATGATGATTGTTATAAATTTCTAAAGCAGCCACAAAGCAGAAAGAAGGGATAAAAAGGAATGAAAATTGAAGGTTAGTTTCAAAATCAACCACATCCGAAGCCATTAGATTTCAGATTCAGATAAAGTGTAATCGGGCGTGTTTGAAACTATCGCCTTTTGAACTTGAACGATAATAACGACAACTAATTGTCTGAAAGCAATTTTATCACAAACAAAGATAACTTTTGTCGTTGTAGTTCTTAATAATCAACTGATAAAAAGTTTTATCTTTCTACTTATAAGATGCCGAAGTTTCGCTAGACTTTGTAACGGTTTGTAAGGAAAGAGATCAAAGAAGATGAACGTGAAAAGTGGAAGAGCATTAGTAACAGGCGGTGCACAGGGACTAGGAAGAGCTGTTTGTGAAGCATTGTTAAGCAGAGGATGTAAGGTAAGATTTTTCAAATATTTTCAGTAATTTCTGTAAAATTATTGCTTTCAAAATTATCTGTTTTAAATATTTAAGATTTAATCGTATTGGCTTATTTATTTTCTTATAGTTTGTCAGTCGTCATGATTTTCATACTAAATAAAAGTTTAGAATATTTTCGGCTATAAAATTTAAGTTTCTTTTGTTATATATTTCAAGATGAAGTTAGATAATGTAATTTTAAAGAGGGTGGAGTTATTTAAATACGCATGTTTGTTACATGGGGGAGTTCCGAAGAAAAATGAAGGAAAAAATATTTTGCGTAATGAATTGGACTGTCTTTAAATGTTAAATATAAAATAATGCTTTACAATATTTATTTATTATCGAAATACATCGAATCTTTCTTGCTACTATTCAAACACATCCCGCCAAAGACATACAAACCCTGCGTAAAAACATAATATATAAAGAACAAAAAATTCCAGCAAGGGGTTGCTTAGCTTTCCTGACGCCATTTGATGGCGCCAACTGTTACGATATTTTATTAAAATACTTTTTATATTTTTAACTATTATGAAATGGCAAAACGCTTAATTATGAAGGTAAGGATGGGATTTATTTAAAAAAAATTCTAAACGATGACGAGAAATTATTTATTGTGACATCATCACAATGCCGGGATGCAATTTTTAATCATGTTTTTGTAATTTATTTAATAAAAATATATACTCTCCACTTTATACGAATACTGTCTTGCATCTGTACAGAATACAGTGGAACCTCGGTATATGACCTTAATCCGTTCATGGTGTTTGGACTTATACCAAATAGGACGTATACCAAACCAACCTTTTCCATAAGAAGTAATGTAAAAATGATTAATCCGTTCTCATGTAAAAAAAAAATGGCTGGCTTTAAACACCTCGCNACTTTCTACCTTATACGAATACTGTGTTGCTTCTGTACAGAATACTTTTCTTGTTAGCAAGCCCCCAAGCATCATACTTTTTCTGTTAGCAACAGTCATGCTGTCATCTATCTAACTCCCTTATCGAGATTAAGAGAGAAGACAGACTGACGACAGTGGGAATTGATAACAACACAGTTCAATAACAACTAAAATCGTCATTAAGTCCGACCCTACTGGAGATATAACATATAATTTATCTCTACACCCCTTCGACTTTTAATCACAAAAGTTGTTAATCTTCAAATGAAGTGTAAAAATTGATTGTGCTCTCACACCCAACCACACACACAAACACTAACATCCTTATACAGTATACAGAAAAAGCTTCGAATTGTTTTGCATTTGTAGACGTTTCAAGGTCCACTGAGTCCAAAAATGTAAAAATTATGTAGGGTCATACCGACTGCCATACTTTCTAACTGTTATACTCGTATATAACAGAGCCGGAAAAAGTAAAAAAAAAAAAAAGTTCTATAATTATATTCAAACAAATCAATTGTTTTATAAAAATATTTGATAAAATTGTGTAAAANTAGGGTCATACCGACTGCCATACTTTCTAACTGTTATACTCGTATATAACAGAGCCGGAAAAAGTAAAAAAAAAAAAATGTTCTATAATTATATTCAAACAAATCAATTGTTTTATAAAAATATTTGATAAAATTGTGTAAAAATTTAGGTTTGTTGCGCGGATGTGAATTCTGCAAAAGGCCAACGCACAGTGGAGGAGTTGCAAAAGAGTTATGGAGAATCAAACTGTAGTTTTGTCAAATGTGATGTGTCCTCTTCAGAAGAATTTGAGGGTATTTATTGTATTTTAGAAATTTAAGCGTTTAAATCAAATTAATATATGAATATATCGTTTATATTTTAAAATATCTTCGTAATAATATATTTTGGAAACTAATCTTGAATAAACANGTTAAATCTCGAACACGCGTGCCACCTTCATATTTCTCAACAATCTCTTTTTACAGTTCCGTTGTGATTCTAGTCAATTTTTATTTTTCTGTTGCCCTTTTGCAATTCATGATTAATAAAAATAATAAAATGTTACTTACAAATTAAAATCAGAAGAAATTTAACAAAGTTATAAACCGTAGCACCGCGAACGTCTAGTCTGGTCTAGTACACCAACAGTGCTACTTGTTCATAGATGGCACGTATAATTGAATGAAGTCGTATACCGAACAAAGTTTGTTTCGTCCAAACAGGATGTATTCCGAATTTGACGTATTCTAAAGCAGACGTACACCGAGGTTCCACTGTACTTTTCTTGTTAGCAAGCCCCCGAGCATCATACTTTTCCTCTTAGCAACAGTCATGCTGTCATCTATCTAACTTCCTTCTCGAGATTAAGAGAGAAGACAGACAGACGACAGTAGGAATTGATAAGTCTACAATTTTTTCAAACTGCAGTTCAATGACAACTAAAATCGTTATTAAGTCCGACCCTACTGGAGATATGACATATGTGGGGACCGAGGGGGGAGAAATTAAAAAATCTCTAAATGAACGATAATATGTGATATATATCGACATCGTCTCCCTTGCCGTTTGGACTGCCGAGCGGTAACAATCAACGACATGTGGGAGCAGTTGAGTCAGAGATAGATGCCTCGTTTACAACACAGCCCGTTTATTAAACACGAAAGGAGCTTACAAGATTTCCGCGATCTTGGAAGTTCTGCGGCGGCTGTGGTCTCTGGGTCTTCTTCTCCTTTCCAAGATAGTCCCATTTTGAAGGAGTGTCCCTTATTCGCGAATGAACAATTCCATCGACGTCTCGACAACTCCGGACGATGCTGTCGACTTCCGCTGATGGAAAGATGTCGATCCGATGTCGGGAGAAGAAGCCGTCGAATCCTTGTATTCCCGGGGTTTTATACGTTTTCCTCAGATTCCCCTTTCCGATTGATCTCTCCTTGTCACCTGATGACAATTCGAAACCGTTCGGGGGCGCGGGAAAGGTCAAAATCGAAGTTTAATTCGATCTCCAACCGGAAATGGTCGACGGACTTATATTCTTTTATTGTTTAAACGTAGGCGTCGCGTTTTCATAAAAAATAATCTATTTCTAACTACTATATTTTTTCCTCTAAAAAAATTATTTTAACGCTAATTTTAGTGAGAGTTTGGACCCGTTCAGAGCCTCACACATACGATCCCGTTTATCTCTACACCCCTTCCATTTTCAATCACAAAAGTTATTAATCTTCAAATGAAGTGAAAAAAAACATACCCAGCCACACACACAAACACTAATACAGTATACAGAAAAAGCACCGAATTTTTTTGCATTTGTAGACGTTTCAAGGTTCACTGAGTCCAAAAATGTAAAAATCATGTAGGGTCATTTTTGACCGACTGCCATACTTTCTAACTGTTATACTCGTATATAATAGAGCCGGGGAAAGTAAAAAAAAATTATAATTACAGTATATTTAAACAAATCCATCGTTTTATAAAAACATTTGTTAAAATTGTGTAAATATTTAGGTTTGCTGCGCGGATGTGAATTCTGCAAAAGGTCAACGCACAGTGGAAGAGTTGCAAAAGAGTTATGGAGAATCAAACTGCATTTTTGTCAAATGTGATGTGTCCTCTTCAGAAGAATTTGAGGGTATTTATTGTATTTTAGAAATTTAAGCGTTTAAATCAAATTAATATATGAATATATCGTTTATATTTTAAAATATCTTCGTAATAATATATTTTGGAAACTAATCTTGAATAAACAATGAAAGAATTGAAATTTAAAGAATCGTAACAGACTCCAAGGTAACGAAACTCTACATTACAGTATAATTGCCAAAATATAATTTATCGTTGAATGTGGTAATAGACATTCGAAGAAATACATATTTAATATATTAATAGATTCTAATAAATATTTTTCCATAAAATTCCGTCCTCAAATAAATGTTGAGTTATAACTATGGTTTTCATTCAGGGTTGAGAAAGACTCGAGGGAAAGGTATCATAAGATATCAAGATCGAAAGCGTTAATTGATACTCTCTGAAGTCAGAAAGTCGACATATCTTAGCTTTTAAATTATTGAAATGGTGTCAAATTTTACCCTCTGGGATTTCGGCACGTCTCCGTTTTGAGACCTCCGGAACTCAAAAATAAAAAATCACAGTTAAATTTGCTGTGGACGTGTGCGTGTGTATTGGCGTCAATTTCGTTTAATATCTTAGGAAAGGTTTAAGATTAACAAACAAAATTTGACAGAGCAACTTGTGTACAACAAGTATTAATGCTTTTAAATTTTCGATCTTAAAGGTCGAGGGGTTGGGGAAATGAAGGAAGTCACGTATGGTATTTGGAGATAGGTGAGATCTAATGATGTGTTTAGTTGTTGTTAGCATTTACCGTTTTCATTTATAAAACTCATCTCTATCCTCAAAACGAAGCATTTTATAATAATTAAAAATATAAAAACTTTTTAAACAAAACCTCATAACAGATGGCGCCATACGCACTTTTTTTTATTCTGAATAATAGAAATGTTATTTTTAAATTAAAATCTCGTAACAGCCGAGAAAGTTACGCAACTCGTTGATAGATATTTTTCTCTGTTTTGTTCGATTCTCACATAAATATATATTTCTCACGGATTGAAAAAAATTTCTGTTTTATTCAAGATTACAAATAGTTCGCTTATAATTTTAAATTATAACAAAAACAACTTGTTTCAANCTGAGTTATACTAAGCTTGTTATGGCTCTATCACTTATAAATTATTTATCAACCATTCTGTTTTTGCCATTAATCATCGATAAACACATTATATGCTCGCACGTTGACAGAATGTTGAATAATAGAAATGTTATTTTTAAATTAAAATCTCGTAACAGCCGAGAAAGTTACGCAACTCGTTGATAGATATTTTTCTCTGTTTTGTTCGATTCTCACATAAATATATATTTCTCACGGATTGAAAAAAATTTCTGTTTTATTCAAGATTACAAATAGTTCGCTTATAATTTTAAATTATAACAAAAACAACTTGTTTCAAACTTTCACTTTTACGACATACTCGTAGTTTTTCACAAAATTAATTCAATTACAGAAGCTTATTTGAAAGCCAAACAGACATTTGGGGATTTAAATATTTTAGTAAATAATGCAGGAGTTACTCAAGAAAATAAGGCTGTGGATATTAATTTGGTAAGTCCGAACACTCTTCATTCTTTAAAATTTCATTGAGTAGTTACGAGATGAATTTTATAATTAAAAATTATTGTAGAATGGCGTGATATATGGTTGCAACATTGCATCAAAATACATGGGGAAGAATAATGGAGGAGATGGGGGCGCTGTTGTTAATGTTGGTTCTGTGGCAGGTATTTAATAATTCTGCATTTTTATTTCGTAGATAAACGTGTACTGTAAACTAATTCAAATATATTTTTTACTTATATTAGGTCTCGAACCCTTTACACTATCTATCTATTCAGCAACTAAAGCCGGTGTAGTTATGTTTACAAGATGTCATGGAGTAAGTGAAGTCGTTATAATATGATATGTTTATTTATTTAAAGCGGTTTAGAACAAAATACTCATAATTATCAACGTTTTCACATTTTTTTTATATTGCGAAACTTTGTTGTTGTTGGTTTTATGGCAACAATAAAAATGGCGCAATACGTATAAGATGTGTTGAGAGGAATGTTTCCTGGAACACTTTATAAGGAAAACTGGCCCCTACTTAGATGTTATTTATGTGAAGGAAATCCAGAAATCGCCCTGTCGCCAGTCTGTTGGATTCTACTATTCAGATTTATTCCACTTGATCTCTGGTGGGCACTGTTAAATTTTGGAGACATCAAAATTATTTAAATTTCAATTTAGATTTACGATAATTATAAAATACAAAATAATATATATATTGTATCATCTATTTAAATTGATGCTGTATTACTGCATCAAAGTTTTAAGACTGGTAACGAATGTTCCTTTTTGGATGGGATTAGAATGATCGGATCGCAACACACGGGCGATAATGCCAAGAAAAATGTTCCTAAAGGAAGATTACCCTAGAAGATTTTCCTACGGGAAATTGGCTTCTCTTTAGGTTTCTTAGATGAAAACCTGAGAAACTCCATGCGATCAGCCTGTAGTTCGAGAGGAAATCTGCGAACTACCTCTGTTCAGTGGAGTTATCCACTCGACCACTAAAGGCATTACACTATTTTTTTTCCGAAAAAACGTGAGAATAAAAAAAATTCAAAATGAAATGCTCCTTGCATTCTGAAATTTTTATCTGAAAAGTAAATTATACAATCAATATACTTGAAAGATAAATTAATGCTTGATACTATAAAAATTTAATAGAAATAGGACAATTATAATTAAAATGTAGCTTTAGTAACTCTTTATACAAAGTCTTATTGGGATAATCTCAACCGAATTTCTTGAGTATATGATTTCGATTTTTGAAGGAAACATTTTACTTCTATTTTTTATTTATTTATTTATTACGCATACTGGATACACTCCTTGATGCGGGGAGCAAAGCCATCTCCCAAAGAACAAAACAGTTCGATACAATGAACACACACATAAGATCACAAACAGATCATACAATAATAAATTAAATAAATAACAATTTAGATATAAATTAAAGATCTAAAAGTCAAATGTAATAATTAGTTAAAGTTTAAAGTTAAAGTTTGGGAGCATCTNGTTGTTGATTGTGCAGCAAATTCAGGTTTTGGAGCTTCGAGATGGAGGAGGATCTACCATATCTTTCATGTTTTCCATATTCCACTGCTGCAATTTAAATAAAATAATCGCACTTGTTTCTTAACTTACAAAATTATTTAGAAAACTTATGGAATATGCATATTAAAGAAACTGAAGAGCTAAATTTTGTCTTTGTAAATTTGGCCAAACCCATGACAAGTATGATTAAAAAGGCCCTTTTAGTGCCCACAGGAAAGAAAGACTAAAAAATGAAGAGTGCTGTGACTTCATGCGACTGTTGTGTGTCGTATACACTGTTAAGGATATTTAATTTGCAGTTTAAGGACCTATAATTTGCAAGTATTTTTATATTTTGTTATTGTCTCGGCCTCTGTATGTATGATTATTTATTAATGTTTACATTTAATTTTACTTTATGATACTGTTTCGTATGTTGGGATATTTATCATTTGATATGTTACATTGTATAAAATTTGTCGTCATTTTCGGTCGGTAACA